CGAAACGTTAGGAAACAAAACTTCCAGAACACGGCCACACAGCCCGGAAGACCCACACCAGCCAGTTACTACAATCACTGACAATAGTTATAGCTCTGTTTTGGCTGTCCTCAAACTGAACTTGCTAACATCCTTCCGCTTCATACACGCATGCACACATATGCATTGTCCCTGTTTGTGAAACATGGCTATTACCTAACTAAACATACAGCATCTGGGTTGCAGAAATGCAGATGATCACAAGAGGGCAGCAAACAGACACAGAAAAGTCTAACTCTAGTGGAGGTCTGCTTTTCACCTCCAGGTAGGGTAGGCCTAATGGCCTAGTTGTATGTTGTAGTCATATGATTTAAAAGAGCAAGCCTGGTTTCAAATGAATTCTGCTTTTTCAAAGACATTAGAATTCAATTTATATTTCTGTTTTGTAGTTGTATTTCCAGAAGCCGACAATAGAGATTGACTGATTTCCCACTGAGACACACCCTGCATCTTCTCCTTGAGTAGCTGAGATGAACAACTAAATTAACATCCTAACAACCGTATCAAATATCTACCAATAGACTGACTGATCTAATGGGTGATGGCAATAATTCTTATATTCCCAATTGTCTTAGTTCTTAAATTATCAGTTTGTTAATAAGCAAAAGAAACTATTTATTGAAGAATATTAAGTAAAGAACATTAAAAATTGTTTATATGAAAAGTGTAATATTATATTTTTATGTAAAAAGCACTATATTGTATTTTATATAAAAAGCACTTTATTATATTTTATTGTAGAGGAAAGGAGTCTACAGTTACATGTTTATCATAATTTAGATTAACAGCCCCCTCCCCACCCCTATCCCAGTTAGATATAGATTGGCTTTCCAAACTTGATGCTGGATGATAAAATTGACTGACTAGCTTTTGCTAAATTGTAAGAACAATAATAGGGGGACGCGGTGGCGCAGCGGCTTAATGACACTGAAAGTTGCTGGCCAGAAATGGTCGATGCTTCAGCGGTTCG